TTATGCAGCTGTATTATAGCCATCTTATTTTCCTTGTTTTAAGGAAATGAGATAGGACATTCAGATTTATAGAAGAGGATATTATGGAAGAGTCATTCCCTCCAAAATGGTTAGCACAGAATTTCCCCAACAATTATATCTTTATCTAAAATGTAATCCAATTTTCCAAAATACATATTTTCACAAATATCTAGGAATCTCATAAAAGCTTAATTCATACAAAATTTCCCTCAACAATCAAAGGACTGAGAGGTAAAATCATTTTCTGAGTTATTTAATCAATAAATTTACTATGTTTAAGATCCCTAACTTCAGGCTGCTGTCAGTCCAGTGCAAAAACAGATCCAATACATCATGAGACTACAAAGCTAAGGGTTATAATAGAAGTAAAGAAATATGCTGTAAGCAGAGGAAAGAGTTATAAACCACCACAGGCCTTGGTTACAATATCTGTTCCTCTAGGAAGCTTGTCCCATCACCTCAGCCAATGTGGCCCTCCTGCCCCATGTCATCACCACTTCATTTACAGCACTTTCGCTGAAACCATCTTGTGTGTGTGTATGTTTACTGTCTCTCAGGAGAGTGTGCTTTCTTTTTTCTGAGACAGTGTCTCACTCTGTTGCCTGGCTGGAGTGAAGTGGTGCGATCTTGGCTCACTGCAACCTTCACCTCCTGGGATCAAGTGATTCTCCTGCCTCAGCCTTCTGCAGCCATGCCCAGCTAATGTTTGTATTTTTAGTATAGATGAAGTTTCACCATGTTGGCCAGGATGGTCTTGATCTCTTGACCTCATGATCCGCCCACCTCAGCCTCCCAAAGTGCTAGGATTAAGGCATGAGCAACCTTGTCCTGCCAAGAATGTGCACTTTTTGAAGGAAGAGACTGTAAGCACGTGACCGCGTCTAGGACATAGTATGCCCTCAATTAACCATTTAAGACAAACTGTCCAGAGAAGAGTGGGAAGAGACTTCATATATGCTACATGAAGTTGGCCTTGAAGAATCCAGGTGTTTGGCAGGTAAAGTTTTGCAGACCTAAGATTGAAGACCTATATTAACCTCCTAGTCCAATCACCATGTATGACTATAGTATGCCCCATTTTTTACTTCTATGTGCAAATACCTTATAACTCCTAAGTTTATTTCCTCCTTAACATAAGTTACACAGTTTTTATTATTATTATAAAAATTTTCAGAAAAAGCAGCCAAGTATAACCTAGGTTCTTATTGAAATTCATTTTTACTTAAAAATTCTCAAAAATGCATTTTGGTTTATTTAACACTTTCGAAGAACTTACCTAACCAAACATACACAGTAGATAGGTTTGGTAGGAGGACTTCAAACACCATGTGCTTGATTTCTTTAGAATCTTATTTTTCTTAAATGTTCAAGTTAACTTCATGAAGGAATACAAGTATCACTTATGAAAATAACCAAAATTACCTCATATGCCAAAAAGGCAATCAGCTTATTGTTTATGAGGGGATAAAAGGTAGAAATAATAAATGACATTTTACTTTGGAATGAGAGAGGCAGACACAGGTAGCTGTTAATACCTTTGACTGTTGGCAAGCACTTCATTAGAGCCGTACACCCCATTCTGTGATTGTTATCTGGACACATACAGCCTCATCCTCATCGATTTTCTGGAAGATGGGTTCTGGCTTAGGAAAGGCAGCCGAGGCCATGATCCGCTCCGCCAGTAACCCCTCAGGTAATGGAAGGGTACATACACATTTTTATACCAGAAGAGACCAGCTTAGAGAAGTGATCTGCCGGCTTCTCATCTGAGAGAAAAGGACACCAACGCTAGGGAAGTGAGGTGAATTTTTTCTCAAATCTAGTCAGTAGAATCCAGGAATCCTGACTTGGTCAGGCATTGTTTCTACTGTCCTTGATTATATCTTTTTAGTACATCAAAACTTTACACATATTTCAAAATGCTCAGAAGGAGAGAAGACACCTGGAACAGAACTAAGACTAGGAATTCTGAATCAGTCCCTAATAAGAAAGCTGATGAACAAGTCATCTGGACATCCTCTGTGGGTTATTACAGATAATGAGTTCAGCAGGCTCATGGCTTAAGTCAGCTCAACACTGATTGTTAAGAACTGCAGGAGGAGGTCCCCCATCCAGTTTTAAAGAATAATCAGGATTACAGGACCACACAGCATCAACTCAAACTTAATCCAGCAAGGGTGGGTAAATCAGTAAGACGAAGGTGCTCATTGGTTTAGTGTAGCTGGAAGGGTGCCAGCTCACACTAGAACAGCTTTTAGTCTCCAGAGACTCTCAAGGTCAAGGGCAGAAGAAAAAATAACCTGGGCCACGCAAATTTCTTTTGTCATCTGAGTTCAATGAGACTGGGGCTCTGAATGAATGTTCATGTCCTACTGTTTTATCACTTTCTATTCTTCACTCAAGACATTTCAGAAAAAAACATATCTCCTAAACTACAAGATTCATGGGATCGAAGAAGCAGAGCCTACTTGAACATACTGTTGTAAAATACTGCCTGAGAGCGCGTTATTAATGATAATCAACCAAAAAGAAATAAAGCAGTCAATTCTGACAACGTGGGGAATATACTATAGAGACATATAGAATATGCTATATAGGTATATATAGAGCTGCTTAGTTCTTCCTGAAAAATCTGAGTACACAATTTTATCTAAAAGTTGAAACTATACATTCTGAAATGGACAGTATAAGAATTGATGATTTTCTTTCTTTTCTAAAAAAATTAATTACTATGCAGTATTCTACTAATTTGGGGGGAAATTCAAGAATTAAAGACCCATTGTCAGAGAGAATTCCATATGACAAAAAAAGTGACTGCTTAAGTTTTTTCTTTTGCAGTAATTTTACTATATTAAAAACTTCTTCAAACAAGTGAGCAAAGCCATAAAAATCATTTTGGCTGTGTAAATATTTGTTATATTATTATATTTTGATATCATTTGTACTCCACAGATAGTATTTTTTTCCCAAATCCCCAACCACTAAAAATCAGTGAATGATTTGAAGGAATTTGTTAACAGTCAATTTATAGATGAAACGATATTTGGAGAATTAGACCCAGTGGCCATGCAAGCTATGGGCAGTAAAAGATACAATATATACTATGTACTTCTATTAATGGATGTGCATAATGTTCATCTGATCATCTTTCCTTTAATGAGATTCATCTTTGCAGTATGTCAGTTTTATGTAGTATATACGTCGTTAAAACTTCTTTAGAGAAGGATATTAAACATTGTTGATGCTTAAGGAACCATACCAGGAACAGTATCCCAAGGGCATGTTGAATAACAAAGGTGCTTAAGCAAATAGGCATTGCCTTGATCCTGCAAATCTGACCTTGGGTCAGTCAAAAAAAATGGTTACTGTTTTAAAATATCTAGGCAAATATTGCTTTAAAGTGTTTAACATGATTAAGAAAAGCAACAAGGCCCCTTGAACATTGTATCTTCCCTTTTTTGCTTATACTCTTCCAGCTTATCTTTACCTCCTCAAGAAGCCCCTAAAACCAAAACACACAACTAACTGACAGAACGGGCGAAGTCACAAGCACACTCATAGACGGAAAAAACTATTTAATTTTGGCTGGGTCGCCATCTAGGCAGGGCAGCAGTGACTAAATAGACAAACTCAACCACCGTTAGTTTTCCTCGATGTAGCTACATTAGCTCAGTAGAGGTAAGCTGTGGATGACAAAGTATATGCTGCAGGCACTGTGAGGCAAGGCAGGCCGCCTAAGTTTCCTCATCTGTAAAATGGAGATAATGCCTTCAGGACAGAAAAGCATGCTGAGATAATACAAGAAAAACACTTGGCTTGATGTTCAGCTTCCTCTCCCTGCCAAGCTATTACTATGACTACATGGAATGTGCCATTTGCATTAAGAAAGATGCACAAGAGTGGACTGTGTGTAATCACGCAGTCAGCACATACTTGGGTTCTGCCTGGTCTTTCTGGGTGTTATTTAGAACTGGAAACACGTTAACTACTGATAATGCCTTTTCTATCTGAAAAGGATGAGGCATAAGTATTGCAGGAATTCAAGGATGACCCAACGTACAGCCAAGCAGTCTCTTTGACTAAGGCATGGTTGACACAGAATAATTACTAATTTATAATAAGGCCCCACTGTTGAATCCAATGGTCTCTATCATTCTAACTGGCTACTCTCATTAGAGAGTAAGGTAGGAGAGATTGACCTTGATTCACCTCTTTGCCAACCAAATGTGGAAAACCCTTTAGCACAGTGATTATTAACCATGGTCCCACATTAGAACCACCTGGGGGGGGGGCGCTTTTAAGACTCCAGAAGCCTAAGTCACACCCCAAACCCAACCAATTTAATCAGGATATCTGGTGGTTGGGGGATAGGTTCCTATGTTTTCCGAAGTCCCCAGTGTGATCCAAGATGTAGCCAAGGTTGAGACAGCTGTCGAAGATCATTCCTCTTCACCTCAAGTAACTTCTGCTTCAAGGCAAACTAGGAAAACCAACCTAGAGCATTTCACAACCACAGCTTCTGAGAGCAGTCACGACAGGACCCCCAACACTGGAACACGACAGGTGCCTGCACCAGGGTCCACACCGGGGATCCAACAGAGCTTATTAGTAGGGGATTACCCAGCTCCCCACGGAGAACCATTTTCTCAAAACAGTTTGCACTTCAACACAAATAAGTGCAACAATCTTAGGAGATGCCACCAGTGCCTAAATTGACTGGCCTCTGACCATCAGGACATATTTTCCTTAAGAGAAAATCTCTTGGGAAGTAAAATCAGTATGTATGTGTGTATGTGGGCACCCCCGTGGACACACACACACACACACACACACCTCCAGCCAACCTCTAGAGCAGCAGACAGAAGCACGCAATTCCCGGGCTGCTTGGAAAGCACCCCGCAGGCTCCCCGCCGTGTGCGCGGGCCCACTGCACCTGCCGGCGTTCGGCCGCACCTGCCATGCAGCGCCCTCCTTCCTACCTTCCAGCAGCTCGTCCAGGCTGGTGACCTTCCGGCTGCCGTCAATGGTGTAGATAGTGCGGACGCCTTGGGGCAGGTTCACGTTGTCCGACAAGGAACGGGTGAGCTCTATGAGAAGCGCATCGAAGGACCGGAAGCGGTCGCTGGAGATGGCAAACACCAAGCCCTTGAAGTAGCGGTCCCCGTTTCGGTAGAAGCGCGCCTTCTTGGCCTTCTTCTCCGAGCTGAGGGCCTGCAGGGTCCGCGTGCGGTAGAAGCTGCAGTGGGCACTGTGAGCCGGGCTGGGGATGAGCCCGTTCCCCTTGGGGCCCGAGCTACTGCTGCCCCCAGAGGAGCTGGGGGCCCCTCTCCGCGACCCCGGCCGCGGCCTTTTGTCCCGTTCCTCAAAGTGCTCCAGCTCGATACTCCTGGTGCTGGCCATCGCGGCTGCTCCGAGGGCTCCCCGCAAAGAGACGTTCCAGGCCGACTAAGGGTGCGAGCGCCCGGGCAGGGACCTCTGACCGCAGGGCCCTTAACGCGCCGGAACACCTGGCTCTGGCATCCCGCCCTCTCTGCGCAGGTGGAGCCGAGGAGCTGTGGAGGCGCCGGCCCTCCCGCGCCCTCAGCTAAAAGTGGCCGCAGCGCCGAGCCACCCAGCTCATTGTCCAGCGCGGCTCACTCGGTGCCTCCCGCCAGCCGGGGAGCCCCACGCCCCCGCAAGCGCCTCCTCCACCCGGCCACGCCTCACAAGTCCCGCTAGGGAGCCGGTCGGGAGAGGCAAAGTTGGGCCGCCGGAGGCTCGCGCCGGGCCCGCGGGCGCACACAAAGCTCCGGCGTCCGCGGAGCGCTCCCAGGAGCTCTAAGGGGCGGAAGGAAGGATGGGGCGGGGCGCGGAGCGTGGGAGAGCCCCCCGGGGGAGTCGCGCCGGCCCCCGCCCACGCGCGCGGTCCCAGGCCTGGGGTGCCGCGCCACCGCCTCGCCCGCGCCCGGGTCCGCGCGCGCCGTTCGGGGCTGAGAGGCCCGTGCCCGGCCCCTTCCTCCCCCGGAGCGCGGCCCTAGCGGGAAATAATGCAGCCGGCCTCCCACGCAGCCGGCAGGCCCGGCCCACCGGCGAGCATCCGCGCTCGGGCCTCCCTCCGCCGCCCGCCGGCTGTCAGCGCTGGAGGAGGCTTACCGGCCCTCGGGATGCCAAACCGCGGGGAGAGGGAGGAGGGACGGAGGAGGGGGCCGAGCGCGGCGCGGGGCGAGGCGGCGCGGGAGGAGCGGCTCCTGCGGGTCCCAGGCGGCCCCGCCCGCCTGACGGCTCCAGCCCGGCGCTGCGCGCTAATGGGCGCAGCCGCGGCGCGCGCTCCTCCGCCTGGGAAACGTAACCGCGCAGGCCAAAAACTACAAAGGAAGGAGATTCAAGGGCAGGGAGCACATCCCCAGCCAGCCTCCGGATGAGGACCCGAGGCCAAACTACCGCAGAAATCTGAAGCCCAGCATTGACTTGGGGCACACAATTTATTATTTTTTTGTAAGCAGATATGTTGCTTTATTAAAAAATCCTTTGAGGAAACAGTCTCCACTGTTTCCATTGCAGATTCGCTAATATGGTACGTTCGGTAACTTTGAATGAATGATCAGAAGTTATTGGGTTGGTGGGGGGATTATGTAATCAACGAATATTTATCAAGAGCCTGCTATTTGTCAGGCATAGTCTCTGTCACTAGGATATCCTAACAAAGGAAAGACTCTGCACCCGCTCCTCCACCCGCATATTTAATGTTGTCAGTTAGAGCTTCTTACCTAAGAGGCCTATCACTTGTGAACACCCATCATAGTGGAAATCTCAATGCAGTAGTGTCTATTCAACAATAAAAACACGTTTCCAAAGACTTGAGAGAAACACTAGTTATCTCCATTTTGTCATTTGGAAAGATAAAGCTCAAAAACGTTTGGTCCTAATTTGGCACGTGAAACCTTAGACCATTCAACACCTGGTTCTCTGAGCAGCCCTAGACAACAATTCAAACTGACCTTTCAGAAAGAAAGACATAGTTGCTTTTTCTTGGGTTGCACTGAGTCTTAAAAGAGCATGAATAAAAGAAGGTGAAAACACATGCAACAGTCCTTAGCATCTGTGAAGTTGGTGCTTCCCACCACACATGCACACGCACACACATGCTCGCACACACACACACACACACACACACCCTGCATGGCAGATCCAGAAAGGTCTCCTGCTCTGTGCACAGTAGTCCTCCCAAGGCAGTTCTGGGCAGACACCTGAGCATACCTAACTTCCTGCAGGATTGGAGCATACTGGGAAGTCAGAGCTGATCTGAGGCTTCAATGCAGTTTTCTAGAGGAAAATCCTGTGGTATCATTAGGTCCACCACCTTGAAAGGCCTCAACCTAGATCAGTTAAATCAGAATTTCCCGAGATGGACTTCTCCAACAGTATTTTTTTTAAAGTACTCCTAAGGTATATCCAGAGTTTCCAACCACAGGCTGTAACATCAGGAATCAAATAGACCAGTGTTTCCTCTCAAACTTTAATATATTTACATGTCATAGGGGAACCTCGTTAAAATACAGATTCCTATACAGTAACTCTGGGGTGGAGTTTGACATTCTGCATTTCTAATGAGCCCCCAAGTAATGACAATGCTGCTGGTCTTGGTACAGACTTTAAGAAACAATAAACTAAATTGCAAATTTCTCAAGATAAGACTCCATCTAAGTACTAGTAACACCACAGAGCCCATCAACTTGCCTTAAGATGGCCATGTTCATTTGTATCACTATTAGTATTTCTTAGGGGGAAAAAGACTTTGAAAACTATTGCTGTAGAAACATATTATCCCAAACTTAATGATTTACAGCAATAAACGTACATATCTCAACAGTTTTGGCAGATCAGAAATCTGGAAGCAGTTTACCGCAAAGCCTCATGTGATTGATGTCGATGTTGACAGGGGTTACAGCCATCTGAAGGCTTGACTGGGGCAAGAAGAACCACTTCCAAGACAGCCCATTCACATGAATGGTAAGGAGGCCTCAGTTCCTTGTCACAAGCACCTTTCCATAGGGTTAAGTGTCACTCCAACCTGGTAGTTGGCTTCCTCTAGAGTAAGGAATCCTTCCTCCAATTGTTTGGCTTCCCTGGGCCACATTGGAGGAAGAAGAATTGTCTTGGACCACACATAAAATATACTAACATTAATGATAGCTGATAAGCTAAAAGAAAAATCACAAAAAACTCATAATATTTTAAGAAAGTTTAGGAATTTGCATTGGGCCACATTCAAAACTGTCCTGGGCTGCATGCTGTCTGCTGGCCATGGGTTGGACAAGCTTGCTCTAGAGAAAGCAGCCAATAGGTAGAAGCCGCAATCTGTGCTATGATATAGCCTTGGAAGTCATACACCATTATTCCCACAATATCCTGTAGTTTACACAAGTCAGCCCTGTTTGATGTGGGAGGAGTCTACACTAGAGTGTGATTAGGAGTCAGCAATCATTGGGTCATCTTGCAGATTGGTACCACGGGTTTCAGTCTTTCAACACTAACATAGACACACTTTCTCACTCAAAGAACTTTGATAAAAGATTTGATCCTTCTTAAATACTGAATACAATTATATAATATGCCAGTATTTTTAACTCAAGATGGATTAAAGACTTAAATGTAAAACCCAAAACCATAAAAACCCTAGAAGAAAACCTAGGTAATACCATTTCAGGACATAGGCATGGGTGAAAGCCTTCATGGTGAAAACCCTAAAAGCAATTGCAACAAAAGCCAAAATTGACAAATGAGATCTAATTAAACTAAAGAGGTTCTGTACAGCAAAATAAACTATCACCAGAGTAAACAGGAATCTACAGAATGGGAGAAAAATTTTGTAGTCTACCCATCTGACAAAGGTCTAATAACCAGAATTTACAAGGACCTTAAACAAATTTACAAGAAAAAAGACACCAAAAAGAGGACAAGGGATATGAACAGACACTTTTCAAAAGAAGACATCTACATGGCCAACAAACATAAGGGAAAAAAAGCTTAACATCACTGATCATTAGAGAAATACAAGTCAAAACAACAGTGAGATACTATCTCATGCCAGTCAGAATGGTGATTCTTAAAGTCAAGAAACGATAGATGCTGGCAAGGCTGTGGAGAAATAGAAATGCCTGTAGTCCCAGCTACTCGGGAGGCTGAGGCAGGAGAATTGCTTGAACCCAGGAGGCGGAGGTTGCGGTGAGCCGAGATCGCACCATTGCACTCCAGTCTAGGTAACTCCGTCTCAAAAAAAAAAAATGAAATGCCTTTACATTGTTGGTGGGAATGTAAATTAGTTCACCCATTGTGGAAGACAGTATGGCAATTCCTTAAGTATCTAGAACCAGAAATACCAAAGGAATATAAATCATTCTGCTATAAAGACACATACACATGTATGTTTATTGCAGCATTATTTACGATAGCAAAGTCATGGAACCAATCCAAATGCCCATCAGTGGTAGACTGGATAAAGAAAATGTGGTACATATACACCATGGAATAGTTTGCAGCCATAAAAAAGAAAGATCATGTCATTTGCAGGGACATGGATGAAGCTGGAAGCCATCATACTCAACAAACTAATACAGGAACAGAAAACCAAACACCACATGTTCTCATTTAATAAGTAGGAGTTGAACAACTCAATAAGTAGGAGTTGAACAATGAGAACACATGGATGCAGGGAGGGAAACGTCACACATGAGGGCCTCTTGGAGGGTGGGGGGAAAGGGGAGGAAACTTAGAGGACAGGTCAATAAGTACAGCAAACCACCATGGCACACATATACGTACGTAACAAACCTGCACGTTCTGCATATGTATCCTGGAACTTAATTTTTTTATTATTAAAGAAATAATATTCCAATGTTTTAACATTATTCCCTAACATTATATTCCTAAGTTAAACAAAGATTACTGCTTTTCAGCAGGGGTGTGGCGAAAAGAGAAAGTATTTCCAAAGCTGTTACTTAGTTAAAAAAAGTTTTTTGAACCTACTTTCCACATATTTTTAAAATAATTTTATTTGTGATCCTCATAAGAATTGAGATGCAATCACTTTTCATAAGGTATTTATGAATGAATATGATATAAATATCCAGTTGGTCAACATTTGAAGATTTGTTGAGATAGAAAAAAATTAATTTCGGTATTCAAATTCTAATGCAAACAAAATTTGGAAGTTCTAGGTAGAACTGTTAACTTGGCTTACTTCATTATTTACAATTTATGGAACTGTAGCAGATTTTCTCCTTTTGTGCAGTTGCAGAATTTGCAGAGTAAGATATTTTAACTGGCATTTTCTTTGTTGAGATATCCATTTTTTTTTTTTCTAACGAAGAAATGCCATCTGATTGTTAATCATTGGTCCTTTCAGAGATGGCCTAATTCTCTTTGGTGGTTAGAAGATCCACCAGTTCTGTCTGCTACACGCTGATTTAACAAGCTTCTTAGAAAGGGCTGGCCGCAGATGCCTCTTCACAATCTGGAAGCCCACTTTAACCTTCGATGGCTCTTGGTTGTGAAGAGCATTGTTAGAAAAACCCCCTCTTTTTAACTCCCCTTAACCTAACACTTATTTGAATAAAAACTTTTGTTCCAAGTATTTTTAAAATGTCATTTTGCTGCTACAGACAATTTGAGAATTTCAATCCAAGAGCTCTACTCCCCATTTTGTATAATTAGAAACGACCCCTTTTGTTTTTTATATATAATACTTATAAATCACGGAATATCTAGTGGATATGAAAATTTTGTTGGAAGTATGCAAGAAGAGTCTTCTACAAACCACTTGGGGCAGAGAAACTCAACCGGTCATAAAGAAAAAGAAATTGTTCTCTTTGTTCTCTATACTTCTCTTTGTATTACACAGGTTAGCCAAATTTTAGAGCTGCTTTTAGCCAGGGAGCAACTTCCTCTCCTGCTCACTCCCTCAGCCTCACTCCACCTTGACTAAGAAATACAATGCAAATTTTTATCTAGCATAATTTGTTTAAATGAGACATCATTAAATATTTTATTATGGGTCCTTACATAAAACACTTGCCTGAACATTTCCTGGATTTTGCTGCATGTTACTTTATTTCTCAAATTCCATGGGTAGTCTTCACTTTTGGCGAAAGACTTCTGTTTTTGAAGGCAGTTTTCCAGTGACTCCATTACTTATTATATAAAGGATGCCTCCGAACTTTTCAGACTGCACTGTGCTGAGACTTTTTGCTGTCTCATGTTTTCATTC